ATGAATCAAATATGTATCTTTATTCATTTACAATAAACTCATAAAGTACATCATTCTGATTGAAGCTAAGGGCATACAAAACTGTCTAACATTGAGGTTGCTAGATCTAAACATGGGATTTTTATTTCTCAACGGAAGAATGTTCTACATCTATTAGCAGAAACTGGAAAGTTGGGTGTTAAGCCTACAGATACATCTATTGAACAGAATCACAAGATCAGTGCAGAGGGTGGAGAGCCTCTTGAAGACAAAGTTATGTTCCAACGGTTGGTTGAAAAACTTCTCTATCTTTGTCTCACACGACCGGACATCAGTTATGCAGTCAGCGTTGTCAGTAAATATATGCACTCTCCTAGAACTACTCACCTCTTTGTAGTTGAGAGAATATTAGCATATTTGAAGAGATGTCCAGGTAGAGGTATATTATTCAAGAATAATGATCACATGAAGATAGAGGTCTATACAGATGYTGATTGGGCTRGRAGTGYTGATGACARRAGGTCTACCTCTGGATATTGTGCCTTTGTAGGAGGTAACCTTGTCTCCTGAAGGAGTAAGAAACAAAGTGTTGTTTCTCATTTTAGTGCTGAAGCTGAATATAGATCTATGGCTAATGGTGTGGCTGAAATCCTATGGCTAAAGTCATTATTTGAGGAGTTGGGTATTGCTTATGAGAAGCCATTAATGTTGTATTGTGATAATCAAGCTGCTATTAATATAGCTCATAATCTAGTACAACATGACAGAACTAAGCATATCGAAGTCGATCGACATTTTGTCAGAGAAAGGGTTTCGTCTCAAGAAGTGTGTCTCTCGTATATCACCTCCAGCATGCAGCTCACAGATCTTCTCACCAAGGCTATTCCAATGAAGAAATTAGAAGCAAACCTATGCAAGTTGGGAATGACAAATATCTATTCCCAATTTGAGGGGGAGTGTAGAGAACACTGATATGGACCCCACTGCTATGGTCCCATTGTGTTCATATTGCACCATAGCATATATTTTTTTTGTTAGTTATGCCAGTGTTAATTGGTAGTTATTTCAATTTATTGTTACAGCTTGTTATTCCGACTTTATTATTAGTTTATTTGCCATGCAAGCAATAAGGGCAATTCAGCCCTTTTACAATTAGTCAACATATATAAATATTAAGAGTGGGTCGGTAGATCATTAAGATCAACCCTCTCTCTCTTTTCTAAAACCCTTCGTGTGCTTCTTCTTTTCTCCCTCTCTTCTTTTTTTCTTCTGAAATTTTTCCTTTTTGCTTTCGAATTCAAGGTTGATTATAGTCTTGATCGACTATTAAAATATGTTACTAAGGTTTTAATCTTCCAATTAAGTAAAGTGATTATCTTAAAAGAATGATATGATAGTATGTGGTGAGGGCTATACAATCATCATGCATCTAAACAAATTAATCTATAATCAGTATATCATATATATATATAACATATATTTATATATGACATSCATTATAGAATCGGGTTTGGGTTAGGTTGGGTTGCCCAACGAGTCAACCCTAACCCAAGCATCAACCTGACCCTTGGATTAGGGCTGGGTTCGAGCCAACCCAGCCTAAGTTGCAGCCTTAGCAAGATCAGTGATAGTCGAATGCAGACCGACCCCGTGCTTTGCCTTTGCCCACATATCAAGAATTTCTACTCGCTACAAATCCATCCAGTGCTGGTTTGTTGATTCTCAGAGATCAACTCCATCCTTAATGGCAATTTTGAAGGTTCAGGAATACTTCACATGTGAAAGGTGAGATTAACGCCAAGTAAGGTGGTGTTCGGTAGCACTGAATCGACCTCCGAACACCGAAGTTTTTGCTTTTCAGTGCTTTATGGTTATTCGGTAGCACCTCCGAAATCACGCTCTAGAATACAAAAACTCCTCCAAATTGTTAAGAGGGTCTGCTACCTCCGAATGTGCTCAGAGGTAGCAGACGATATTTTGTTCCCTAAAATACTTAATATTTTCTTTCTCCTTTTCTTCTTCCCTCTTCCCTTTCTCCTATATTCTATCCTCCACCTTCAGATCGCCATCCTCTGTAATACCATTGACTATTCTCCCATCTCTCCTCTTTCTTCTTTCTTCTTTTTCTTCTTTTTTTCTTCTTCTTCTTCACTGTGGTCAATAGAAGGGCAATGAACGAGGATAGATGACTATTATCTGTTCTCTGTATCAAGGATGAAGAAGGAAAAAAAAGAACAATGAAAGAAAAGGAGGGAGAACGAGAAAGAGGGGAAATAGATGGAGATGGGAAGATGGGGAGGAGGAGGAGCGACGCTATTCTTACCGTTGCTGCTTGCAAAACGCAGCAGGTTTGCCCCTTGTAAAAAAGTAAAACATTTTTTCTATCAAAGAAACCCTTCAATGAACTCTCAGAACCCTAACCGACTGTTTTCTATGGTTGTATAATCGGCAAGAAAAAGCCCTAAAACACAAAATACAAGGGAACACAACCAAGAATTGCACTAATTGTGGCCTTCAGCAATGACAAAATCGCAAAATCAATAAGGGAGAAGAGATTGATCGCAAAATCAATAAGGGAAAAGAGATTGAGGACAACCAGGATAGTAATTGTGGTGCCTTTCTATGAGAAGAAAGTAGCAAAGCTCAAAGCTCAAGAAGCTGCATGTACATTTTCCTTCTTCATGCCGCTAACCAGAGATTTGACCCCATTTTAAGTTTTTTATTTATAATTTTCTTTTTTCTCTTTCTTTATAATTCTAATATTTCCTATAAATAAATTAAGATGATTTATTTACTAATTAATTAATTGGTTTTTAAAATTTTTATCATTTTTGTTTATTGGTTTACCATTTTTAATATTTTGTATTTATTTTATGGTGTTTAATTATTTTATTAAAACAGTTGTAATTTATAATTATCCTTAATGGTATATTTAAATTTTTTTTTATTGGTTAAGAAGTTTTTGATATTTTATGCTTTTAATTATCCTTAATACTATATTTAATACTTATTTTATATTATTTTTAATAATATTATTTATTTTTTATTTTATAATATTAATCTTTTTATTACTTTTTAATGTATATTTTAATCATTTCCATTTATTTTTATTTAAATAACTTTGAGGGGTAAATTTGTAAAATACATAATTTTCAGACATTATAACATTCAGATTACCGAATAACTCCACTATATTCAGAAAGTGAAAAAGAAGGCCTTCAGAGCTTTTTCAGAGGTTTTTTTTTTCAGACTTCACACTTCAAATTTAGCGAACGCCACCTGAGGCCAAAGATCTTCTGACGTGAACTTTGAATTACAATGGTATGAGCTGATATACGAATCAAAAAGGGAAAGTTAATTTATAAAACATGGTCCCTCACTAAGTTGGAGCTTTATGTAGTTGAAAGCTTTAACAACAGCCCCATGATAGCTGAATGGAATTAGTGCTAGGAATTGATCTAGCCAGTCATTCTCAACGGCCCTCCCAATCCTTCAGCTTCTTGCTTCCTTTGGGTTTGGCGATTGGCGCATTCATTCCAGCCATTTTGGCATTGTATTTTGCCCTCAGAGGATCATTATATGTCCATCTGCATCAGAAAAAAAACAATACCCACGTCAGGATATAAACGTCTAAAGGGGAATTGCACTTCATAAAAATAGTAGCTGCTAGAACAAAAAATTGCAGTGTTAATATATATTCAAGTAGCATGAAACATTATCTAAATTTAACTTGACTACTATTTTATTTTTCATGAGAAAGTAAGGAAAGGTTAAATTAATCACAATAGAATGCCACAAGTATAGCCCATGAACAGTGCAAAGCTAACAACTGAAAAAAAAAATGAAAATACAAAATGGAACAAGATTTAAATCACGAAAAAAGAAAGCGAGAAAAACAAATCTTGTTAAGAAAAAACAAAGTGAACAAGTAAGGCTAAAACCGAAGTCTTATTGGATTGATAACAGATAACCATGAACGCATCATCCCCATTGTCTCTCAAAAGGCAATTGCCTCAAAGCAATAGCAAGTTAAGAACTATAAACATAAGCATTTCTCAAAAGGCAAGAGGGTCATGTTCCATAATACCTCCCCCCCCCCTCCCTCCGGGCCCCCTAAAACCACCTTTCCAAGAGGTAGACTTGTTCATGGGCTGGGTAGCCCAGCTGGCTTGCCCAACTTGGCCTGTTCTTTATTGGGTCTGAACATATTTTGGGGTCCATGGGCTAGGGCTTTTATATATAAGCCCAGCCCGACAATTTTATATATAATAAAAATACGTAATAGTAAATAGTAATATATAATAAAAAATATATCTCAACATTTACTAATATATTATTATTAGTAATATATAATAAAAAATATAAATTAGTAATATATAATAAATTTTGCTTGGGTCTCAAATTTACTTTTACTTCCTATTCATACTGGGCTTTGAGCTTTATATAAGGGCCAGGCTCGGGCTCAGGCTCGGGCCTGAACATTTTCTATTGATAAGTGGTAAAGCCTGGCCTGTGAACAGGTCTTCTAAGAGACCTTACCAAGCTGCAAAACTTTCACAAATAAACCTTTTCATTGTTTATTCCTTGGGTTGGTAGACTCCATGAATGAATTTCAGAAGCACCAACAAAACCCATACACACCAAGAAATTGAACCCAAAGCACAAAGCAGGAAGGGTAATATGGGAGAAGATGATTACTGCTATTGCTACTTCATTGACTGGATTTCAACATAAATTTATTGAGTTCTTAACTCATTAACCATAAATAGAATAGTGAAATCTGTAACCAGAGATAAGAAGCATGTCTTCAAATGTAATCCAATAGGGAAGAAACAGTTTATAAGGGTATACCTACATACCAAAAAGGTTTGCTAATTGGATCAGTAGGGAGCTTCCCTACACAATCCAATCTATTTCCGCCATGTTGAGTGGTTCTGCAGCCAATCCAGACTGTCTATCAGATAGGGACCCCCTGGATTCGCTCTCTGTTCAATCCCAGAATCCATACATAACTTACTATTGGTTATGTAAGTTGATACTAGCTGTACATTATGCCAATTTTTTAATATATATGAAATTTGTCCATAAAAGGGCTCTCACATGGAAAGGTTCTTCGGGAAAAAACTTTTCTATGAAGGGGTGTATAACGTATTGATTCGCAAAAGAGAGTAAATACAACTTTAGCCTACATATAACTAGATGACATGCAATTGGACAGAAAAAGCCCTCCAAAACAGGCACTAATTCCATATACAGAATTTTCAGATTTCTATACTCATAATTTTTTTATGAATAAAAAGGATTTGAACCTAGGTTGATTTCTATACTCAAAATGCCCAAATAGGTTTAGTTTTTCTTTGTGGAAGGGGTTCTTGTGCTCAATTTTGAGACATTAGAAAATGTAATGCTTTAAGTGGATAGAGTCTCTTTGGAGTTCACAATCAATGTGTATGTTTTTTTTTTGACAAGTATCTATGTGTATGATAATTGACTAACCCAGATGGTTAGTTGGACAAGTTCCATTTAAGTAACTAAAGTAACAACTAAAAGCTTAGCAAAATATCCATTGGATTTCTCTTGGAATGATAAAATGGTGTAAGCACTATTCATAGCAAGGATAAAACCAGTCAGAAAAATCATCTCATTCAGTTTACAGGTGATGCAATTTGGAAATCTTCTAGCTGTACCAGTGTTGCATGGACCTCCTAAATGGATGAAGTCCCCATGTTGGACAGCCATTGGACCTTGACACTCGTGGATTCTTGAAGGGAACTTCTATGTGGCATTTTTTTCTCCTTGCTCATTCAACATAAATGAACAGCTAATATACACCGTCATTTTTCCAAATAAAATATTATCAAGATCCTAGCTAAAATTCTGGCGACCAGGTTAAGAAAGGTGATGGACTCTTTAATCTCTAAGTATCAAGAGGCTTTCGTTCACAACAAGCATATTCAGGATGTAGTTCTCATAGCAAATGAACTATTAAATTCAAGGCTAAGAAGTGAAGAAAGTGGGCTAATCTGTAAAATTGACTTAGGGATGGTTTATGACCATGTTAATTGGTTTTTTTGGATTATTTGCTGAACAAAATGCACTTTGGCTCCAAGTGGAGAAGTTGGATGAAAGTTTGATTTTCCACTCCAAGATTTTCAGTTCTTGTGAATGGGTAGCCAAAGGAAATTTCAGCAGTTCAASAGGTTTGAGATACACTCTTCTTCTACAAGAGATTCAAGAGGTTTGTGAATGGTGGAGGGCTTCAGAGTGAAGTCCAATGGAACTGCTATTCCAATTCTACAATATGTTGATGATACACTCTTCTTCTACAAGGCTTCAGAGGAGCAAGTTCTGAACCTGAAGTACCCTCTTTTCTGGTTTGAGATTGTGTCAGGCCTGAAAGTAAATCTAGCAAAATGTGAGATGATAGCAGTGGGAGAGGTCCCTAACATTCAAGGCTTGGCAGATTTGTTGGGGTGCAAGGTTGGGCAGCTACCTTTAAATTATTCGGGGTTGCCTCTAAGTGCCAAATGTACTTCTAAAACCATTTGGAACCCAATAATAGAGAGAATGGATCAGAAATTGGCTACTTGGAAAGCAAGGTATCTCTCTAATCTCTCTAAAGGGGGGAAGATAACTCTTATTAAAAGTGCCCTGGCAAGTTTGCCAACTTACTTCATGTTTCTTTTTCCTATCCCCTCGGAGGTGGTGGAGGTTTTAGAAAGGAAGACGAGAGATTTTTTTCTGGGTGGGCTGGAAGGATTCACAAAAATACCATCTTGTAAAATGGAGTCAAATTTGTAAACCCCTATCTCAAGGGGGGTTAGGGATAAGGAGCCTAAAATCTTTCAACCTAGCTTTGCTAGGAAGCTGGCTGTGGAGGTTTGATGCTGAACCTGATAACCTCTGGCAGAAAGTAATAGTAGAAAAATATGGGTTGGATGACAGTGGTTGGGGTAGTGGTCCACCTTTGTCGACTTATGGGTGTAGTCTGTGTAAAGGTATATGCAGAGCTTCAAACTTGTTCAGAAGGGGAATTGGCTTCAAGGTTGGGAATGGGAGGAGGATCAGGTTCTGGTTGGATCCCTGGACTGGGGAGAGTTCTCTTATGGTGCTGTTTCCCACCTTGTTCAGTTTGGCTGTAGATAAAGAGGCAATGGTAGCTGATACCTTTGTGTTAAGGGACAATTCTATTTTCTGGGTTCCAGCCTAATAGAAGGGATTTCAATGACTGGGAGATTCAGCAGGTTGGAAATCACCTAGCTTTGCTTCAGTCTCAGGTGTTGAATCTGCAATCCAAGGATTCCTTAATGTGGAGATGGAACAGAAGTGGGGAGTTTTCAGTTAAATCCTTCTACAACTCCATAGTGGGAGGATCTAAAGCCCTCTTCCCTAGCTGGGCTATTTGGGGGACTGTGGCAACCTCCAAAGTCAAGTTCTTTGTTTGGGTGGCTGCTTTAGAGAAGTGCCTCTCTAAAGAGATGTTGGTGAAGAAAGGTTTTAACTGTAGTGATCTGAGGTGTAGCCTCTGCAGTGTGTTTACAGAATCAATAAACCATTGTTTTTACACTGCGATTTTGTTACAAAAATCTGTAATCACTTAGTAAGAAGTTTGAGGTTAAGTTGGTGCATGCCTGCCTCAGTTAAAGCTTGCCTGGAGGCGTGGCAGATCCAAGGGATGACAAAAAAAGGAAAGAGGTGCCGGTCTTCTATTTCCTTGGCAGTTTTGTGGGCGGTATGGACAGAAAGGAATAGCAGGATTTTTTATCTCTCCTMTTCGGAAGAAGAAGTCATCAATATGTCTTTAAGCTTTGTTAGAAATTGGTTGTCTATTCTTGCTGACTTTAAAGAGGTTACTTATGACTGTAATTTTCTGAGGATGATATTCTTTTGAGGTCCTTCTGGCTTTTTTGTACAGCTTCTCATTGTACAGAGGACCTTCTCATTAATACAGTTATACTTTACCTTTGCTCAAAAAAATAAAATATTATCAAGTAATAAAGATAATTTTTTAGACCTTTTCTATTTTCTATAGATTTATAATGTTAAAATTCATCAAAATATGGTCTATTTTAATAGTGTATACTTTTCTATAGATGTGCCCACAAGTTGTCTCTTCATCTTGGCAAGTCAGATCCTGGACATATGAGATTCCCTTTTCTGTGTCCATGTAACACGTAAGTTGTACCATAAGCTTATCAGTGGGAGAAATGTCTAACCAAGAAAATGCTTATAAGAAAGGGTGTAAATCCGGTAATACACCCTCTGTCCCCTCTTCTTGGAGGAAGAAGATTCTTCCATCCATTTATTTCTGCAGTATACCTTCACATATAAAATTTGGATGTACTTCTTCAAGGCTGTAACAGCTCAGGGTTGCTTACCAGCCATTGTACAGGATCTGTTACATGGCTGGAAGGTTGCTGGAATGAGCAGGAAAGAAAGACGTTTATAGGCTGCTATTCCTTTGGCAGTAATGTGGATGGTGTTTATGAAGAGGAATTCAAGGATTTTTATCAGAAAAGAAATCCAGTGAAAAGAGTGATCAATGGCATCATGGAAACTCTGAGGCAATGGCTATCAGTTACAGTTT